TTATGTTAGTGTATTTCTTAAAATGTATTGTATTATTGCAATTTTACCTAAGCAAGAACAAACGCATATTTAAAGTATTTTAATTTAATAAAATTTACTCATTATATTAATCTACCTATTTCATTGGTAAAAAATTAAAATTCAATCTATTATATTCATCTTATTTATCTTTAAATTTTTTTTTACATGATGGGAAAATCCAATTAAATTCTCATTAACTTTTATTAGAATTTATAATATACTTTAAAATAATTATGTTCTTATTAAGATAAGTTATCTTAAATAATATTCATAGTAATAGTTTAAATCGTACTTACAGATACATAAAATTATATAAAAAAGAAGGATTTTATTTTGGAAATAGATAATAAATTTTTATTGGAGCGACACAAATTTTAAATTGAGATTGACCAAATAAAAAATATAATTAGGCACAGTTTTTGACCGAGTTATTTGATTTCGTTACATATAATTATCACGAATGTATTAAAAAATTCAATTTAATATTTTTTATTTTTATGAAGAAGCAGCTAATTATAAAATATTAGGTAGTGTCGTGAGTACTAAATTACACAATACATAAGTAAATCGTGATATATTGAAATTGAAAAATTGTTCTCCCAATTAACGCATTGGAAAACAAATTGCTGGATTTTCAAATCTGAACGGTTTAACATTTTAACAAGCAGCTTTAATTACTTGTTGTCCAAAAAGTTTTAGTTTGAACCTATGCTATGTCGACGGATAACTATATACCCATACCACTTAGTTAGACAGCATGGCAAAAATGTTTTATTATGTTATTGTTTTTACCTTTTTACATTTTGACCTTTGACCTTTAACTGACCCTTTATCATAGCTAACGTAAAGTTTTGTGAAGTGTTATATTTCTTTTTGATATTTTTGCTCAATAAATGCCATTATTAAATTTACATTGTACATATATATTTCCTGGTTTTACTTTCAAAATAATGTCAAAAACGAAATAAATAACAATTTTGTTTAATTAACAAAGAAAAGTAAAGATAATATACAAATTAAATTTTTGTAAATAGAATTTAAACAATATTTATTTAGAAAGCTTTACGTACAAATATATCACAAGTTTAAAAGCATTTATTAAGACAAATAATAAAGATAATTTGCATAATATAAAGTCAAATACATTTTACAACGGAATTCTTAAAAAGGATATACTATATTAGCAGTTTAAAATTAAATATACAAATCTGTATTATTAACAATTATATACAGGGTGATTCAACCAACTTATTTATTAGAAGTTTATGGAGAACAGAAAATGTTATCGATTTGACATTTGTATAGCAATTATAAGGCAATGTAAACTATTTTTTTAAAATTATTTTCAATGCGTTATCACTTCCGGTTAAACCGGAAGTGATATCAACTTTGGTTTTTCAAATGAACCCATTAAAAAATTATTGCATTTTTAAATTCTACGTGAAGTTCTAGAAATTTGAATATTTTTTTAATTTTTAACAGTTTTTAAGATATTTAATTTTTTTCAAAAATTTTGACTAATTGATGGTCTTACTAATATGTCTATATTACCAATAATTGTAATGTTAAAATAGTATATTAAAGAACATGTCATTAATGACAAAAGGTCTTATGACATAAGTTCTTTATGCTATTTCATCTATTTTGCAAAAATTCTATATAAAAAAATACTTTTATACCTTAAATTTAATTTGGTCGAATTTTACTTTAGATAGTTGGTATCAGTCATTGGTTTGAAAGTTAATGTCAAAATCGATTCGCCATGCCGTCCATAATTTACTTATTTACAATAAGCGCCTGTTAATGTTAAAGAAGAAGAAAAGGATTTTCTTTGGTGTTAAACAAAATTTATTGCCAGAAAAGTCTCGTAAGTACTGGAAAAATCATAAAAATATTATAACCAATATGCAAAATATTATGCTGTTTAATGTATAGCCAACCTATAAAATAAAAATTTTGGGTGGGATAAAGTGTCTCATTACAGCACCGAAAGCGGTGTTCTAATGAAGTCATTATGACCGCAAAATGGATAAAGTTATTTTGGAACTTTTAATGTGTAATATCAGTATTGTGCGTGGGATTGTTTTTATTTCGTATTAAACAACGTTAAAAAAATTATCAGTTTAAAGTTCAAAAATTATATTAATATATTTTTTGAACTTGAAAAAATTAACAAATGTAACAAATAAAACAAATCTAAAGTAATTGTTTAATGTATCGCCTGTGTTGTTTACAACACATATATTGATGGGTCGCTAAGCACCACAGTTTTTCTTAAAATTTCTTCATGGGACAATTCCGAAAACGATTGTCTAACTTTCTGAATGGTGTTAAATTGGGATACCTATCAATAAAAGTTCTTATTGTTCTTTCTAAAACCTTTCCGCACTCGCCATATGTATAAAACATGTTTAGAATATCTTGATTAGTGTTGATTTTGACATTACTTTATAAAAACAAAATAAAAGACGATCCAACGCACACTACTGAATCACCCTGTATCTATGAAAGCAAGAATTTTAATTTTTATTCTATTCAATAAAAATTATATTGAACCAAATTTTTTTCTAATAACTTTATAACCCTTCTGCACATTAATAAAAAAATAAATCATGGCCAGTTAAAAAAAATAAAAAATAAAAACATAAATAAATAAATATGGGTAAAACGAACGGGCTTGCGTGTAAGATAATACGCAAGCGAGGTGCAATAAAATAATAAAATAAAAAGCTAGCAGGCAGCCAGGCAAAGTGTGAAATTTTTCATTGCATTTTATTTCTGACACATAACGATCGGACCTCCCATTCGGAGGTGATCAGTTACACAAACTTTATTAATACTCCCAACCTTTTTTCATTTAATTTAGTTTTTACTTTATAACTGGACCCATGCGCAGGTAATTGGTAGCCTGGCGTGAACAAAATTTTACATTTTTAAAACTGTGCAGTTAAATTAAGCACAAAGTAATAAAAAAATGCGTCCTTTTAAAAGGACAGTGATCATGATGCCTCAAAATTAACATTTCAAGCTCGTTACCGAACTGATAATATAAGTACTATAAATCTCGTTGCTAATTATTTTTCAACAAGTTTATTTAGAAAATACAACTAACCTAGATTGGCATGGTATTTGAAGGAACGTTTCTATGGTGAGTGTGTGCGAGAGGCATAGAACACCAGCACAACACAAGACAGGTGGATGAGTAGCATCGAAGCAAAGGTCATCATCCATCCTTTCAGGTCGACTTTGGATTTTTAAGGCGTGTATGCGTTGTTTCTCTTTCATCTTCCCAACATGTTCAACTTTAAACTTTATTTATTTTTATTTAGTTCCAAATTACCTTCTATTTAGAGCAATTTATTGTTTACCTTGTTTATTTATCGTTAATTAATAATTAATGTCCAAATAGTTTTAGTCGGTTTTAAGTAAAAAAAAACTGGGATACAAAATTAAGATAACAGATTCTTATAAGGCAACAACAAACATTTATAACCAGTATAGATGACAAAAATGTTTAAATTAAAAAAATAACGTATCTCTATAAGTTTATTCAGCTTTTAGACAAACATTGTAGGGACATTATTTATATATATATTATACTTTTTTTAAGAAACTATCCAAGCTAACCTTCTAACATTTCTAATATTTTATACATAGTAAAAAAATATCTGTTAATTTTTACCAAATATTAACCAGATTTTATGTTAATCCAGGTCCACATAACTTTATGTTAAGTTTATAACCAACTGTAATCTGTTAACTAACTTTATAAGCAGTTTGTAATTATAACAAACATTTTGTAGATTTAATGAAAAAATCCTACCTATGTATTTTTACAAACCTTTTTGTAGACCCAGTGACAAAAGTATTTGTTGGAAATTGGGAACATAAATAAAAAGAATTTTTTATAAGAAATGTATTAATCAATTTCCTAAACAAAAAAATTAACACATACCTGGGTGGTTTTCAGTATCTTTTAAGATTCTGATTTAATTTTGAAAATAAAAATTGTTCGGATTTAGTTCAACTGACTTTTTTCTTTTAGGTAACTTGGTCAAATATGCCATAATGATGGAGAAAGTGCTTTATGTGCATACAAATTAAACTTAGAAGAGTTTTAAATAAAAAATAAACAAATTTTTAACATGACCGTCGCACACTTTTTTTTAATGTGGTTTCTCAAATTTTTATTTGCCCAAAATTAAAAGTATCCCCATTTTGTGAATTTTAGGTTAGAATTTCCACCGGTAAACAACCGACAACAATGCTATTTTATCACTATAGACGGCCATGTTAATAAAAAAAATACGAAGAACTAACTTACATTTTCTATATCAAAATACACGACAGGAACTGTCGCCATTTGCAATAATAATTCACACATGCAGTACCATCAAGCGGAGAATAGACGACCTAAAGTCCTTCTACGGTTATGTGAAGAACACGTCGGGGCAACGTTTAGTTATTGTTCTTTGGCCGCTTAAAAGTTGAATTAAATTTTTAGAAGAAAAAATATACGACGGTCATGTGAAACAGAAGTTTTAAAAGCAAGATTTAAAAATAAATTCATATGATATTGAACTTTTGGTATTATAAATCGATAAAAAATATGCCTGTCTTGTAAAATGTAAAAAAAAGATGGCTAATTTAAAGGTTTTAGTTTTAGTACCCCAGGGACATGGTAAAACAACCAATAACACACCATTCTGAAATCATCAAGTTATAAAGAAATTTGGTACAAAAATTATCAGTACTTACTGATGTATATCGTAACTTTAACCTACTTCACTGTATCTCCTAATTTCAATTTGAAAACCAGCGATCTTTTTTCTGATACTACACACTTAAATAGGTACAAAATAACAGTGTATAGACTCTTGGAGTTCAGTTATCAATAAAACGAAATGTCTCTATAAAATAATGACTTTGTTACTGTTTGACTGATTTGATTCGTTCATTAAAATAAGGTTTTGTTTCAGTCCTTCTTCGGACGCACCTACAACAACATCAGCTCGATATCCGAGTGCAAGAATAATGGAGAATGCGTGATAAACAAAAAAAATCGCACTGCTTGCAAGGCGTGTCGCCTGAGGAAGTGCCTCCTGGTGGGCATGTCAAAATCGGGCTCGAGATACGGAAGACGATCCAACTGGTTCAAGATCCACTGCCTGCTGCAGGAGCAGCAGCAGCAGCAGCAGCAGCAGGTGGCGGGTAATATGGCCGCCGCCGCCAACAACCTGCTACGGCCGCACCCCTACTTGAGTCCACTGTTCAACCCCTTGGCTATGACGCACCAGCCGATGAATCGGCCGTCGATGCGGGACTCCTCGTCCGACAGCGGCGCGTCTTCGGCCGACCCCGAGGACGACTGCCAACGCCCCGCCAGCGCTTTCAGCTACGCCGGCAAATCCTCCCTCAACTCCCCCGCCAGCGACTGCAACTTCTTCGCGGGCGGGAAGACCAGCGCCACCGTAGTTCCTAGATGGCTTCCTCCGGCGCCGTCGCCTTCGGTGCACAAAGGCGCCGCCCCCTCGATAGCGGTAACCGCTCCCGACGACCAAGAGCAGCCCATCGATCTGTCGGTCAAGTCCAAGGGTGCCGCGGACGTCGAGTTGAGCGATCACGAGGTGAGCATCGACGTGGTAGGCCATGAGGATGCCGTCAAGGCCACCGGCCCTCTGGATCTGACTCTCGTCGACCGATAAACCACCCATGTTGCGAATTGATCAGTTTTAGGTTAGTATGGCAAAAATATAAACTATTGTTTACCTTAATCGGATTCATGTGCCTTGGCAAGGAAGTTATCCTAGATAGCACTAGTCTGCAAGATATTTTTGGAGGATGAGTTTTATCTTCAATTGGTCCATGACCTAGGCCCTTAAAAATCATTTAGGCCAATCGGGTTAGGTCACTATGATAGTTCGAATATCCCACCTTAATTACCTAATTTTGGGCTGTTGATTTCAAAAATGCCACTCGTTTTGCCTTTGGGCGACTAGGGTTCGAATTGCGTAATAAAATGCTTTGCCCAATTATCTTAAAATGTAAAATGTTTTTTGTCAAAATTTATTAAATCTTGTCATAAAAAAATATTAGAAATATTCCCCAACACCAAAACAAAACACAAAGTGCTTAAATTATAAGCTAAGGTTGACTGAACCGCAAACGGACACAGTTTACTAAACCGTGGACCGTAACTGCTTCAGTAAACACGTAAAGAGAAACTAACATACTTTTTTATACAAACTAGAGTTGGGTACCGGTCCGTTATAGCGATTTAAAGATTTATTTCTATTCTTATAGATGTATAAACTTTCGTAGGTTCCCTGACTTCCTTTATAAGTTTAAGGTTGTCAAATTATGTTCTATGACCTTCATCAAGTAAATGTTGGGTAACAATTGATTTCTCCAAATCTAGCATGGACCAAGAGGATGGATCGTTTAGTTTGTCCAACATATTTCTTGTCACAATCTTGACACTTTATTTCGTAGATCCCCAACCTTTCAATTTTAGGAATCTTACACACTTCATTAGGCAACCCAACACTTGGTGTTTTGTTTTGGTGTTGGGAAAGATTCTTAATATTTGTTTAACATATCACTAAAGTTGTCCTTCTTCAAGTTAATTGAAGAAATGCTCTTCGGTTTCAACGAATTGACGTTAATGTCATTAAAAATACATTTTCATCCCGATACATCTGATGAACATGGAGAACGATTTCACCAAGTAACTGTAAATCTGGAATGAAGAGAATTTGCTGGAATTTGCTGCAAAAGACGTACGATGATGATAAGGTTTAAGCACATTAATAGCTATTATTCTAGTATAATTCAATTTGATATTTGATACGATTTAATAAATTCAGGATTAAAAAAATTACATTTTCATTAAGTCGGATTGCCCTTAAAGCAAAATTATGCAATGGATTGAATTTTGTGGGATTAATGTGGATAAAAAATATCCAATAATAGTTGAACTTTTCTTGCGCAAAGTCAAACCACCAAGTTTGAGTTAAAAGTCCAAAAAATTTGTGGTTTTTGTGAAGAAAATTACAAGAGTAAATAAATTAAGTTATTTTTGTGTCACTTTGGCATTTCTCTATACAATAATACATCCGTTACTATTAAGGTTGCCAGATTCTGTCAAAAAAATAAATGACATTTTGTGACAATTTACCTTAATTACAAAAATGGCACAATCAACAATACTTAGGTAACGTCAAATTCACAATTTGCATTGTTTTACTGTTTAATTTTTGTAATTAAATGCACTTTATTTTTTTGATAGAATCTGGCAACCCTAGTAACTATGGATAAGGTAAATAGAAAAATATTCGTCAATTTTGCATGATTATTTGTATTTCTGTTCCTTTCTTTTTATACGTCAGCAAACCGTATTTTTTGACAGTTTTTATTAGGTTTAAATTGACAGGAGTGATAATTTTTATTTTTACACAATTATTTTTAAATCCTAGACGTCCTATAGCCAAACGAGTGACATTTTGAAATCAGCGGCCCAAAATTAGAAAGTTTAACTACCCTAATATCACCATTGAGAAATACATTTTAAATAATCGGTTATACTTTAATTTGCCATGTTGTCAAAGTAACCCGTGAGGTTTTATTTTTTCCGTGTAGTTCTTGAAAAAACTATATTTAAATCAAGGATCCACATTTGACTCAAAATGCCTATAAAAATGTTTTGTTGGCTAGTGCTAATTAAACAAATAGTGTTCCTAAATGTAACTATAACTTTAGAGAAACTAATCTACCTAACTTAATAATCTTACGCAGTTGCCATTTTACGTGTAACACATTAAAACAAATCACACTCGCTCGCGAAGAGAAGAAGTAGAAGAAGAAAATCAGTATGTAACGGTCATGATGCCGAGTCATTTAACAAGTCGCAGGTCAAAGCCATTAGAATTAATTTATTTATGATAAAAAAGTCAAGAAAGACTACACTACACTTTTTACTCATAATTTACTCATAAATATAAAATGTACTGTGTTGTTTATGTAAGTAATAGCGGCCAGTTTTAATAATTATTTATTTTTATTGCGATATTATTTAAATTTTATGTAGGTAATAATGAAAATTTAAGACGATATTTTTTTAATTAATAATCAAAATTGTTTGGTTATTATTTATGAATAGCTAATTTATTTTAATATGTAAATTTTATTTAAATATTAATCTTTAATGGTTATTTTTACATAATGGAATTTTTTACACTTCTTTTTAAAAATCTGTCAATTTTCATTAACTTCCAATTTCTATAAAAAGCAATAAACCAATTACAAAACGGCATTATTCATCACACATAGTGTGCTGTGTAGAATCATTTTCTATAGAATAATAAAATGGCAAAATTCATTATGTAAAAATTGACATTAAAGCAAAAATGGTCAGTACTTTTAATTTAGTATCAAAACTTTGCCTTAAATAGTTGTGTAAGTACCTGATTATATACATTGTAATCACAAAATTATATAAACTAGTAGAATTAATTATTATTATTATTATTATTACAAATAAGAGAAATGTTAAGTATTTATTTACAACTCAACTGAAATAAAAAGCAATATGAAATTAATAGACATTGTAAATATAAATGTATAAGTAACTATTTATTAAACACTAAGTATGTCAGAGGTCAGTTATGGGTTAGAAAAGCATAGCATATAAATAAATAAATGAATATTTGTGTACATTTTATTTATGTTATATTTTAATAACGTTTTCAGTATATACGGCCAGTAAACAAGTGCCTTATGTTATATATTTTTTATATTGAGCTTTGAAATAAAAATGTTTTGTTTTTTAATCAGTTTTTTATTTAACAAACCTTCAATTTCAGGACTATTTACACTGTCAAAATTTCATGACCATTTTAACACCAAATTAACACCATACATGGTCTATATCGATACAAACCAAAATGGTGTTAAATGTCGTCCGTTGGCCCGGTGTTAATTCAAATACTAAAATGGTGTTAATTTAACTTTCACACAGTATTAAAATAAATTTTACATGGTGTAAATTGAACTCCTTTTCAGTGATAAATATTATGTGTTTTTGGTCAAATTAAATCATACTACACAGAATATTTCCAGTGGTATTATTCCAGAAAATGGAACCTTCAACTCGCTAGAGATAATGTTTTTAGTGCGTTCCACTAACTTAAAATACTTCAAGTATTGTCAGCTGTTTCCACCTATTTAAGGTCTCTTTAGTATCGAACAACTTGTAGTGTCACACCAAAGCAAAGGATCACCTGAGTTTATATATTCTTCATGTAAGTCAACAGAGGCGAGATTTAAGAACATCACGTGATCCACACCGCCTTTGCCGCGATCGGTACTCATTTTCAACCATAATTCATGGTGTTATATTAACACCACTTGGTGTTGGATTTTGACACCATTTTAAGATTACTTTTTACACCACAGATAATTTAAACAGTGTAGAATAATAAAATACCAGATAAAAAGAAAAAAAAGTATTTTAGGTCTAAAACAGTTTCTTATTTCAGGTTGCATTAGTGCCATTTTTTTAATAAAAATATCATTAAAATTTTGTTGTTGGTTGTTCCTAACCTATGACAAATGATGCAAATAAATATATATATATAATAAATTTCACTTTTTACGTCGATTGATGCTCATGTAGCTATTTTTTGAAGTGTTCCACAACATCATAATAAATGCCGTTATTATACACAGCGACGTAGAAAATTATGATGTGTCGCTCTTGCTATCATATCCGTATGGATTATGGATTTCATCTGCCGCTGCAGTGACAAGTTCGCGGAGTTGTTCTAATGTGTCAACTTCGCTTTGGTACACCAAACTGTTCATGTAGCCCCAGAGAAACCACAATAATAACCAAACTGTCAGTAATCAACGATAACAAAGTACCTACTAAACGATTATTAAAAACACTGTATTTGATATTTTAATAAAAAAATGTAATGTTAAAAAATCAATATCTGTTAAAAACTTTTTGCGAGGCAGATACGGGGCAGGACAGGATATCGCGTGAGCTGATGGTATATAAAAATAGAAGAAGAAGAAGAGGAGATGTGTATTGGATATGGTAGAAGACAAGTGAGCATCTAGAGTGTGGGCGCACGACAAGTGTACCCGGCCGCCTGAGAAACGAGAACCACCCAGGAGACAGACACGCAACAACACAACAACAACACCAGCACTTGCCTTGCTTTGCCCAGGAACTCTTCTCTCTAACCACCTCCATCATATGGAGCATTTTTAAAAATTTTATATTTAAGCCTTTTCGGGCGAAAGAACAGATTTAACAAAATTTAAGCCCTCCAGCCCACACCAAATTAATTTAATGTATAGAGGGGCTACAATCGAGTTAAAGCATACAGGTTCGTTGTTTATCTGCTATTGAAGTCTAATTTTTAAAACTCGGGAAAGTTTGTTTTCGATTTTATTATTTATTTTATTTTTTTTATTTTATTTATTTATTTATTTATTTAACACTATGTTATAGCTAGCAAAACAGTTCTTCAGAATTGGTACCGCTAAGTATATTAATTTGAATTAATTCTTCCATTCTTCTATCCCATTATTTTATCCTTTATTATAAGCATTTATACCTTTCCATTCTAAAAAACTTTACTTCCAAACAGCTTCATTTTATTTTTTAGACCATAAATTATGATTCATATTTTACATTTTACCTGACAATGTAAAAAAAATAGTTATTTTATAAAAGCATGCAAAAAAGTATAGTAATTGGACATTTTATATAGTAATTTGATCATAGTTATTGGACATACAATTTTTATATAAACATAACAACTTTACATCAAATAATATAAATTGTTAAATATTTTTTAAAGATAAATTGCTTTTAGGTAATTTTTTTTATTTCGTTTTTGTAATTATCATATAATTCATATATTTCTTTCTCGGATTCCTAATCCCTTTTCTGGATTCTGAAGGTAACTACTAATTCCTTGGTCTGACTTCTGAAATAGTTTGTTGCAAATATCATTAAGTGTGGTATCTAATATTTTTTCGGGTGGTATGTTAAAAGTATTTTCCGAATTTATTAATT